AAATCTAAGTCGCTGTGTTGCTGTAACTAACAGTTTTTATTATAAAAATATTGAGTAATATAAAACAATCAAGGACTTTTAAATTTCAATAACAATATAATGATAAAAGGGGGGGGGGGCAAATATTCTTATTTATCTCTTTTCATTATATTATTATTAAAAATATTGAGAGCTTTTTTTGTGAATTAAATTTCAGTGATGCTCCAAAATAATTACTAAAGTCTTATTTCGCATTTAATAATAAGTGAATTTTACTTAAAGAGAAATTTAACTTAACATTGAATTACAAAATGTAATATGAATATTTGAACAATTATTAAGTTGTAAAAAATCTTTTGACAATTTTCTGAAAATAAGTCGAAAACATCAGACATACCTCTAGAATGACGAGATTATAAGGAGGATCTTGTGGTGGGTTTTTGATCAGCTCTTGTATCTTTGGATGGCTGAACAGATTGCAAGTTGAGGATCCGGTTTTCTGAACCAAATTGGACATAGATGGGGTGGAGAAGCCTAATGCTTGTGTCGCGGTCATATTGTTCGTAACTTCTGGAGTAGTGCCCTTCAGACTAATATCTTTGTAATTAGGTATTGGTTTTTTTAGCGGGAAATGCGAGACCACATCTACTTGATGACCGCGTCTCGCTAATTCTTTCATCAATACTTCTTGCATGTTCCAATGACTCTTGCCATTTAACGGGAACAAACCAAGAATTCGATAACTGCTAGCAATTTGATCAAAAGCCAAAATTATAAAGAGAACCAGTAACGACATCTTCATTTTGATCTAGTGACTTCACGATTCGGTTCTGTGTGAATATATGTTAGTGAATATATGTAGTATATTCGAGTATTTGCCGTCTTACGTAATCTTTGATGTATGTAATGATTCAATTGCTATCGTTGTAACTATGCCAACTGATCACACTTCACTTGAAAGAATAGTTAACTGAAATGAAAACAAGATGACACGACATTTTATGAGAACGAGATAAAGATAAAATTAATTCTGATTATAGTAGGAATGCATTTTTGCAAGTTCGTGAATAATAACATGACACTTTAAGTGCACAATGAAGAGAAACTGTACTATTATTATTAGAATGTATTTGGAATTTTATTCGAGTGCTCTAATGCGTCATTCTATCTTTATCGTTCATTAGACATAAAACAAGGATGAAATTATACATTCGAGCACTTGCGTCAGTTTCTGAATGCAGTCCTACTCACTCTTTGATATCACGATATCAATTTTGTATCAAATTATATCAATTGACGAAAGAGATGATTTGAAGCTCCATGATATTACTCATTGTACGAAGTCTTGTAGAGAAGAACTTTCACAACTCCGTTAGCAGTCAGTTGGTTACGAATACTAGCCGGACTCTTGCTGGAGGAAAGGTAGATAATGGACATGAGTGGTAGTGGTGGTAATTGACGCTTCAACCATCACAAACTAAATAGTGTATCTGTCAAAGTCCATCTACGTGAAAACTTTGGATGTGTGGTGCTCGCTAAAAGTCCGGGCCACCTGAATAATTTCTGAATAGTTCGAGATATAGAATTGAAATTTACAGGGATATAACGGGATCATAAAATCTATTACCGTGAGGAGAAGGGGGGGGGGGGAGAAGAAATTCCTTTTTTTTAAATAGCATGTGGGATTGAGGGAAGAAACTCTCATTTGAAACTATTCGTTGAACTATTTCTGAAAAACCGATTCAATTAAAGATGAGCCAAGATGAGCGCACGAGTGCGCACACATACACACAAGAAATGTAACTTTTTTCTTCTGAATAACAATGTTCAAATGATCATAACTCTGCGAAAAAAATTCGTAAAGATCTCGGTTAGTTTACGTTGTTCTTGTTTCGAAAAGCCCTTTAAATGAGCCTTCACTTGATTCCATGTCATTTGAGATTTTCAGGCTTCCTTCTCCCCCTTCCCCTCGGAAATGATAAGGTAGGTATTTTTGAGGTTCAATGATAGATTTTACGATCCCGTTGTATTCCTCTAAATTTCAATCCTATATCTCGAACCATTCAGAAATTATTCAGGTGGTCCGGGATTTTTAGCGAGCACTGTATGTGTATATGCGTGCGTGCGTGCGTGCGTGCGTGTGTAAAAACCAAAAATGGTATATAAAAGATACAAAAAACAAAATAACTAAGGCACACACACACACACACACACACACACACACACACACACACACACACACACACACACACACACACA